TATCACTGTGGAAGTTTTAAAACGCATAAAAACGTTGTCACCTTGTAATGTTAATTTTATATGTAACTTGCAACACATTTTGCTGCAACATTCAAAAACTGTTCTTGTCTTAGACAAACAGGTGTTTTTTTTACAGTTTTATTTTACTAAAGCAGTCACATTAGGCAGTTGTATAGCTGATCATTTCTCTGACATCCAGATACTGGACATGTTTCTAAAACTATATCCACCTAAGCCAATTTCTAGAAGAGCCTATAGAGGCTGTAGCACGAGATGTACCGTATTTTCCGGGTTATAAGTCACAGTTTTTTTTGGCATAAATTATCATGCCTGTGACTTATACAGCAAAGTGACTTATTTATATTTTTTCCCCATAATTATAACCCAATTTATGGCTGAGATGTGACAATTTCATTCATTCTGACATGGAAAATATTGAACACTACCATTTTCAGCCACTAGAGGGTCCTCAACTAATTAGGCAAGCCAAATGTCTCATTAATAGGTAAAAGTGGCTATTAATGAGACACTTGGCTTGCCATACAGGCCACCTTCGTCTCGCTTCAGAACTCCTGGAGCAACCGTCAAATCAGCTGCATTTCGCCGCCCAGGTGAAATGCAGCTGATTTGACCATTAAAGTTCATTTATTAAGGAAAATTTCAACTGAAACACACTTTTACTATAATGTTGAGCAAACAAATAATTGTTTTGAGGTTGTTATCTGGTAAAATTTTGAAGAAATGCACAGAGTCGTCCCTCTGCGCACTCCCGCTTCCAGGTATTGGCTTTTGAAATGCAGCTGATTTGACCGTCAAAATGCATTTATTAAGGAAAAGTAAAACTGAAACACACCTTTACTATAATTTTGAGCAAACAAATAATTGTTGTTAAGTGTTAATCTTGTTAAATTCTTGTTAAAGTCCTCCTGTGCACGCTCCTGCAGCCGTCATTTGGCAGCCAATCAATTTTTGGCACAACACAGGCCACATTTCCGGGTTTTCGGCATTGACGCATAATAGATGTGACTTATATGGCGAAGCGACATATTTATGTTTTCAAACTTTATTAGAAATATTTGGACTGATGCAACTTATAGGGCGGTGCAACGTGTACAGCGGAAAATACGGTACATGACTTTCCTCTTTATCAGTCTGTCAACATCTTTAACATGAAACATCCTGTATGCTTTTAGATGAGTGAAAATAGTTACATATGTTTTTATAGTGAAATTCTCACTTTCTTTCATTGTATGTTTTGCAGCTGACCCTCGGTTCTTTCCTGGGACTTCTGGGACTCCTCCTGGAAGAAAACCGAACACATCTGGTACTGCGATTAGAAAGAAAAAGAAAAGAACCACTTTTTCAATTCACACACATCCTGAAGTCCTTATAAAGTTGTGTTGTTTGAGTTTGTTGTTCTTGGGTTTGGTATTGTTTGCAGTCTGCTTTATTAGTCGAGGCATAAAATGAAATATCAGATTAAATGCAAATTAATGTTTTCTTGCAGAATTTCAATTTGTCGTTTTAAAAATATTCAAATGATAACATGCTGTCAGGATGTGGACCAGACTGTGAAAAGAAAAGATACCCAGGATCTAATGACTCAACACTAGAAGTGTTTGGGTTAAATAAGAAAGAATAATGAGCCTCTTCTTCTTCTTCTTTCGGCTTTTCCCTCTTCAGGGGTCACCACAGCGAGTCATCCTCCTCCACCTCACTCTGTCCTCTGCATCCTCTGTCCTCACTACATCTACCTTCATGTCCTTTTGAACTGCATCCATATATCTCCTCTTTGGCTGTCCTCTTTGTCTTTTTCCTGGCAGCTGCATTTCTAACATCCTTCTACCAGTATACCCACTGTCCCTCCTCTTGACATGTCCAAACCATCTCAGTCTGGCCTCCCTAACTTTATCTACCAGTTGTTCAGCCTGTGCTGTACCTCTGATGATCTCATTCCCAATTTTATCTAGCCTTGTCACTCCTAAGGAGAACCTTAGCATCTTCATTTCTGCCACTTCCAGTTCTTTCTCCTGTTTTTTTGTCAATGCCACTGTCTCCAGACCAGACAACATAGCTGGTCTCGCCACTGTCTTGCAAGCTTTTCCTTTGACCTTTGCTGACACCCTTTTGTCACAAATCACTCCTGAAACAGTTCTCCATCCACTTCATCCTGCCTGGACTCTCTTTTTCACCTCTTTACCACACTCCCTGTTTTCCTGGACAGTGGACTGCAAGTACATGAAGTCCTGCACCTTTGTGACCTCTGCTCCTTGTAGCCTCACTGTTCCACCTCCTCCCTCTCATTCACACACATGTACTCTGTCTTACTAAGGTTGACTTTCCTTCCTCTTCTTTCAAGTGAATACCTCCACCTCTCCAAATTCTCCTCCACATGTTCCCTGTTCTCACCACAGATCACAATGTCATCTGCAAACATAATCGTCCATGGGGATTCCTGCCTGACCTCATCTGTTAGTCGGTCCATCACCAGAGCAAACAAGAAGGGGCTCAGAGCCGATCCTTGATGCACTCCCACCTCCACCTTGAAACTATCTGTCACTCCTACAGCACATCTCACCACTGTCCTGCTGCCCTCATACATGTCCTGTACCAGTCTAACATACTTTTTTGTCACTCCAGATTTCCTCATACAATACCACAACCCCTCCCTCAGCTGCCTGTCATATGTGTTTTCTAAATCCACAAAGACACAATGGAGCTCTTTCCGACCCTCTCTGTACTTCTCCATCAGCATTCTCAAAGCAAAGATGGCATCTGTGGTGCTCTTTCTTGGCATGAAACCATACTGCTACTCACAGATAGTCACCTCTCGTCTAAGTCTTACTTCCACAACTCTCTCCCAGATCTTCATCGTGTGGCTCATCAACTTAATCCCCCTGTAGTTGCTGCAACTCTGTACATCACCCTTGTTCTTAAAAATGGGCACCAGCACACTTCTCCATTCCTGAGGCATTTTGTCACCCTCATATATGCCATTGAATATTTGAGTCAAAAACCTCACTGCCATCTCTCCAAGACATTTCCAAACCTCCACTGGTATGTCATCAGGTCCTACTGCCTTCCCTTTCTTCATTCTTTTCAGAGCTTTCCGGACTTCACCCTCACTAATCTTTTCCACTTCCTGGTCCACAGTTTCTATAATCTCTACTCTTCTTTCTCTTCATTCATTAGCTCCTCAAAGTACTCCTTCCAACTTCCTGTCACACTCTCCTCACTTGTTACAACATTACCATTCCTATCTTTAATAAGCCTAACTTGCTGCACATCCTTTCCAGCCTGATCCCTCTGTCTTGCCGATCGGTACAAGTCCTTCTCGCCCTCTTTGGTGTCCAGTCTCCCATACAATTCATCGTACTTCCTCTGCTTTGCCTTTCCTACTTCCCTCTTTGCTCTATGTCCCATCTCCTTATATTCATGTCTCCTCTCTTCAGTCCTCTCACTGTCATATTTCTTCTTGGCTAATGTCTTTCTTTGAATGGCGTCCTGCACTTCACTATTCCACCACCAGGTTTCCTTATCATCCATTCTCTGTCCAGATGACACACCAAGTACCTTCCTACCTGTTTCTCTAATTACTGTTGCTGTAGTAGTCCAGTCATTTGGGAGCTCTTTTTTACTACACAGAGCCTTTAACCGCTCCTCTCTGAATTTCTCACAACATTCTTCCTTCTTCAGCTTCTACCATTTTGTCTTCCTTTTTGATTTTACTCTTTTTCTCTTCTTCACAACAACAGTCATTCTACACACAACCATCTGATGCTGTCTGGCCACGCTCTCCCTTGCCACAACCTTACAGTCCCCAATCTCCCTCAGGTTTCCTCTTCTACACAGAATGTAGTCGACCTGCGTACTCCTTCCTCCACTCTTATAGGTCACTCTATGTTCCTCCCTCTTTTGGAAATAGGTATTGACTATAGCCATTTCCATTCTCTTGGCAAAATCCACCACCATCCTGGTTTCTTTCGTTGACACCAAACCTACCCATCACTTCCTCACCTCGTCTGTTTCCTTCACCAGCATGTTCATTCAGGTCTGCTCCGATCACCTCTCTCTCCTCCCTGGGAATACTCTCTATCACTTAATCCAGATCTTAAATAAGAATAATGAAACTAATTGTTTTTATTCATACTGAGACTTGCAATATTTAGTATAACTTGATGCATGCTCAATAATCCAGGTAGAAAAATCTAAAAAAGTTAAATCTGGTCCTCTGGACATTAAAAAAAAACCAAAACAAAGCAA